GGCAAAAGAAAATAAAAAAAGGCTTCGATAAAATCACCTCGAACAATTTAAAGGCTTCGATAACATCAGCCTTCGAAAAGCCTCAAGAGGTATTCAATAATCGTAACTCAAACGGATTACAAATGAGGTTCGATTGATCGAACCCTCGAAAAACCCAACGGGTACAAAAACACATGCTAAGGCATAAAGTAATTTTCACCAAGTCTTTTAGCCAAAAGGAGGGAAAAATTATAGCCATCTTAGAGGCCGAATTGGTCCAACTTAAAGAGCCTAAGGGCCGACCTAAAAGAGCCTAAGGGCCAATATAAAAGAGCCTAACGGCCGAAGCATGAATAGTTCGAGACCTTGATCTCATCCGACTCGGACTCAAGAGTCCCTTCATCCCGAGCTCACACCAAATCGACTTAAACATAGCTCGAGGATTAACAAAAACCTTAAGAGGTATTCCATTATAAATTCGAAGATCGCCCATTGATCATTAAAAAACCTAAGGGTTTGTTATATTTTGAGCCCGAGCCAGTGCTCACTTGGTCATCAAAATTATAACGTCAAAATTTTCCACAAATAAAGACGAAGAAAAATTCAAATACAGATCGGAGACGAAGTGAAAACAAAGGGAATTCCTTATATTCACATAGAGTATTTACAATGCCCACAAAAGGCCTTACACAAAAATAAAACAAAGGAACCTAATCTCCGGGATTATCGCCGGGCATGGTCGAGAGCACATGATAACTTAACTTCAGCCGCAATGGAGACTCATATGCCCGAGTGTTAGCAGCTTCGGTGTCAGCTTGGTACGAGAACAAGTTTGCCTCTGCCTCAGAATTGGCCTTCGCAAGCTCAGCAACTGATTTAGCTTCGAGCTCCTCCATTTTGCAGCTCCGGGCCAAACTTTCCTCCCTTGCATTTTGAAGCTGGTATTCGATTGAAGCTAGCTGTTCCCGAATTGTATCTTTCTCTAAGGCGAGACGGTCCAGGTGTTGCTTCCACCCTAGGGTCTCGGCCTCTTTCATCTTGAGCTCTTCTCGGAGGTGCTCCGCCAGTTCACCCCTCTGCTGGGCCTACAAAAGTTGAAGTATTAGCCGCTAAATCGAATAAAGACATAACGGACCCCCAAAGGCTACATTACCTTTTCGATGAGCTTAGTCTGTTCCTGACGAGACTTCGCCAACTCAACTCAGAGATCTCTGACCTCTTCCTCTTTCTGTACATAGAGGCGCTTGAGGTCGTCCCTCTCTTCCATCAGCTTCTTGAGTTTGGCCTCACACCGGCAAGTTCGGCTCGAGATTTGGAAAATGCTTGCCGAAGAAGTGACACGGCCTTCACACAAAGAAAAAGCTCAGACTTAGGAAAACAAGAGTAAAATTCGATCATAATTATGAGGACAAAAACTCACTTGTTTAAGAAGCCTCTGGGCCTCATCAAAGATAAACGAGGCGTCAGGATAGGGACCATCTTCGACCCCCGCAAGGCACTCCCGAAAAATATCACTCCCTTCATGGGTCATTCCCACATCAGGAGTCCTCATGGCCCGGGCGTCTCGGAACTTCCCTTAAGAGAACACAGGGCCCGACGGAGAGTCATCTACATTAATTATCCCAAGTGACTCACTTGAGATATTATCCTCTCTTTGGAGGGCCTCGGAATTAAGTTTTTCGGGCTCGCCCACCAAATGTCCCCTGGGACGAGATGCATTTCTACCACCTGATGGCTGAGGACTCTGCTCGAGCTCCCCTCCGAAATTTCTTCGGCTCGAGATTGAATCGCATCAGCCACCATCGGTTCATCAGCTTTCGAAGCGTCAGTGCTTCATCTTCTTCGAGCTACCAACAGGCAGTCATCATTTTCTCCCTCCTCCTCTTCATCCCGAAGGTGTTGGGCTGTTTCCAAAGATAGGACCGCAGGATCGACCCTAGGCTTTCGAGCTCTGCTTTTCTTTGGCTTCGGGGAACTTGCAGGCGACCCCCTCTTCCTCTTCTTCTCTTTGGTCAATTTTGTGATTTCTTCTTCACCGGGCGGGGGCGGCCGCATAGCAATGGCGTCTCCGAGGCCTGCGTAATGGTAAAGTGATTATTCCATTAAGAAACATCAATATGTAAACAAGAAAACTCACCATGGTTTTTAGCTTCCCATCGACCTTTGGCCAAATCCCGCCAACTGCGTTCCGCGTATGAAGAAGTAGAGGCCAGTTGCTGGACCCAACCTGCAAGGTCCGGGACCGCACCAGGAAACCAAGCAATAGCTGCAACATCATAAAAGAATTAGATCGAGAAAAAGTAGGGAAAGCAGGATATTAATCACCATCGATAAATGTGTACTTACGTTTCATGTTCCACTCCATGTTTCATGTTCCACTCCTCGGGGAATGGCATCCTCTCAGCAAGAATCGGATCGGAGGTCCTGACTCGGACGAACCGGCTCATCCATCCTCTGTCCTTGTACTCATCGATGCTGGAGAAAAGGGACTTCAAGGAATGGCGTTGAAGCTTTATCTGAGCACCTCGATAAAGGCGACGGTTGACGATGCGCCAGAAAGAAAGGTAGATCTGGCCAAGCATCACCTGGTATTGTTGGCAAAAATCAAGAATCACTAGGTCTATGGGACCTAGAGCTGGATCTACGGGACCCAACGTGAAAGGATAGGTATACACGCTTAAGTACCCTGCCTTATGGGTAGTAATATCCTCTTCAGGGGAAGGGATCACGACATCTTTGTTCTCCCAGTTGCGGTCCTTTTTCACCTGATCAAGTTCATCTTCAGTTATTATCGAGACATGGGCTCACATCGTCCTGGTGTCGATGCAGGTTTATCGATTTTAAAATCAGAAGATAACTCACATGGCCCAGGAATACACTCCTCGATACGAGGTGGCACTATCGTCCTACCTCTGGTCGGCCGGGATGATGAAGCTTTTTCCTTCTGAGGAACAGTTTTAGATGTTTTAGCCATTGTGGTCAAGAAATTCAAGAGAAGAGAGGGAGCTGATGCTGTAGTAAGAACAAATTGAGAGAAGGATGAACTCAGAGAAGCTGAAGAAGCTAGTGAGGTTTTAAGGATGATTTGAAAAGTAAAGATTGCAAAATTTGAGATTTTGGCCTATTTATAGAGGCCACCTGAATGGTTTGGGGAAACCAACGGCCAACCATCAGCCGCCTCCAATTAATGACCTTGGGAACTGCGTAGAAGCGACCTTTCGATCGCTTCGGCCGCTGACGTCACGAGATAGAAATCACGATCGAGGTATCGGAGCATCGAGGATCAAGTCATTTCTTATCATCTTATTCTAAGAAAAGCAGGGACTATCTGTATACGGTCAAAATCAAGTATGCTCGATTTTAGTGGGCTCGAGGAACCACTTCAAGAATTGGTCCGAAGTACGCTGGGTTCGAGGCCGATGGTGGAGTTCAAAGACCAGAGATTAAGGTAACCGATGAATATCGAGACCGCACGTGACCGACCTCGAGATAATGCCATTGTGGCCCTGCAATAGAATGAGCAAGATTCTTGTCACGTCCTCAAAGTCGCGGCGTAAATCCCGGAATTGATTTGTACGAATCCGTACTAGGCGGTTAGATAGCTGTCCCAATAAGATTCTTTACTGTAAATAGAAATGTACCTTATTTAGGGTTCCCCTATTATAAAACGGGGACCCCAATCATTTGAAAAACACATTCAACCATTGGCAAAGAACATAATCTCTCACTTTCTCGCTCATTGTTCATCAGAATTGTCTTTTAACTTTATTATTCTTGCTTTACTGTTCTTGATTCACCTCGAGGTCACCTTGGCTCAAGGTCGAGACTGGCTTATATACTGGTTTGATTCTACTTATTTCCTTCATTTACACACTAGCTTTCTTGGTTATTAATTAGTATTGAACTAAATCACATATCTCTAAAACCATAAATCAAATTTAATTGTTACTCATATTTTCGAGGTAAACATTAGGCTTACCTAGTCGTAGGAACTAGGTGCCGTCACGATAATGTCGCTATTATTTTTTGAAGTTGCTATACTATGTAATTTTCCTAATTTATTGCAGCAAGTCTTAAAAGCTTGTTGGGGGAGTACCTTGTTTTGTTCCATTCCAAGAATTCTAACACGATTTTACAGCCATGTAGGAAGAATTCCATAAATAGCATATCATTAACCATTTTTTATGATTGCTGTAAAATCTGCAATACAGGATTTTGTAATTTAATGTTCGGATGAAATATTGTTAGAGATAATGCAGAAAATAGAAATCTTTGGACTATTTGCAATTGCGGACATTCACGCATGAGTTGCAAAATCATATGGGCCTGCCGTACTCGAACAAAGTAAACTTTGTCCAGTACCGATAATAGGCCCAATGCTGATTTGGAGATTGCCTTGTCCCAATATGAAGTAAAAATAATACGCGCTAGTCAGTATTCAGACTGGTAAAAATCCCAAATTGAAAAATAGCTAACGTTTGAAAAATCATTAAAAATAGCTACTATTTTGCTGAAACAAGGGAAGTTTCAGCATAATATGCTAGATTATATATGGAGCTCTTGTGTAAACACTTCTAGCATATTATGTTGGAACTCCAGCACACAAAAAAGATCCAGTATTATATGCTGGATTATGGAGCTCCTCCGTATAAACTTCCAGCATATTATATTGGAACTCCAGCATATAATAAAATTCCAGCACATTATGTTGTAATCTCATATATAAAAAATTCGAACTCCAGCATATTATGCTGGAATTTTTCCGGATTTTTAAGGATGTTTTTGTTCAGATTTTATCTTTACATGAAAAAATAGCTAAATTTCGATTACTTTTGAAACTGTGACTATTTTTCAATTACCAATTGTAAATCTGACTATTTTTTTTTTTTTCCAATATGCATTAATGCGTGGCTTTAACTAGATATGTACAATATAATATTTGGTTGAAGTTTGAAAACTTGATATGAAAGTATGAAAATGAAAAAGAGTAGTAATCATATCAATCAAGTGATTGCGATGACTCAAGATCGAGAAAGAACAGTACATCGTTATAGCAACACTCAGATTACGTACATTGACAATCACGACTTCAACCTGCATGGATGGTCAAGAATCCACATTTTCTTTTCTCTTGATCACTTATTCACTACTATATTCTAAACATAAAGAAAAAAAGGAACAAGAAATATAGACCAATCACGAGTAGAATTTTTTCACACAACGATTAATTTGGAAAAAGAAAAAATAATGGTATGAGAAAGTGCCAAAGATCAAAGATATGGTTATTGGATTGAGATTTCAGTTGCTTTGATCAGAGAAGAAACGGTTGATTGAAGGCATGACTTGGGGTGGACGAGTGCGTAGGAACTTGCGAAAGCTGTGTTGTGCATATTTCTCTCCTTCTTCTTCATTTTCAAGTATTGCCATGCTACGATGAGCTTTCTCGATCCTACATTACAATACAATTTTGAACGAAATAATATTTGAAAATTTTGCTGTAAAATTAATAATGACTCAAGACACTGATATGGTGAGATTTAATTTAATTAGTACCTGACATCAGGGTTTAAGAGAACATTTCTTGTCAGTTGAAAAACGCACATTCCCGTAACAAATGTCATGGCCGCCATCAGTGGGTATACCTGCAGCAAATACCAGTATATATATATATATATATATATATATATATATATATATATATATATACACACACATATA